AGCAGGGTATAAACAACGACATAAACTTTGCATAAACCCTGCACTGCTTCCCCAGGGCCAGCCCTTCACCAACCGAAGGGCTGGCTTGGATCACCTTTCAAGCCTCTGAAGAACTGGCATGGGACCCACGGCACCTTCTGCCACTATAAAACCCGCAAAAAAAGAACTCCGCAATTCCTCGCGTCCAGGAATGGGACACTTCAGGGACGGGGAAGATTCTCCTTCCTCACAATCCCAGACCCTCGTGGACAACCCAATGATAACAGCCCCCTCCCTAAAGACTCTCAAACGCTCACCCGTCTCCATGACACCCCCGTTCGCTTCTCCGGAAGAGGGGATGGAGGAGGCGGCGGCTGCGCACTTTAAGCCGAACGCGGTGCATTCTGGGACGCCTTCCGTTCCGCCTGCCAGGACGGGGAAGCGTCGGTGTTGCTGTTACCGTGGCAACGAGGATGCTTCGGGCCATGCTGGAGGGCCTCAAATATCTGTTTGCATTCTAGCGTCCCCTTTTCAACAGCGGTCAACCACATTATGTGATTTGGTTTTGCTGGAGTGTCAGTGTATAACGCTGGGGTGGTCAAATCCTCAGCCATACATGACCTTGGACTAAGGTTGCCAACCTCCAGGTAGGCCCTGGAGATCACCCGCTATTACAACTGATCTCCAGGCGACAAGAGATCGGTCCCCCTGGGGGAAATGGCTGCTTTGGAGAGTCTGGGACCTTCTGCACGCCAAGCAGATGCTCTACTACTGAGCCACAGCCCCTCCCAAACTATTTTTCTGGTAGGACACCTATGCTTTTGGAAGCTGGATGACAGCCAGGAATATGTCAGTCAGTGTTTTCAGCCACAGGATTTTAGCAGTGGAAAAACTGCATCTGTTGGGTTTTTGCCTGCAAGCTGCTCCAGTGTTGGGCTTGTCCAAGTGCATGCACTGAGTAAGGGTAAACAGAGGAATATTTCTGACTATATGCAGAATCTTTGCCTCTCACTCTGGGGTAACATACAATGCTACTCTAAGGCCCTGTCCACACGAGTGGTTTTGGGCCTAATAGACCTGAGTAGGATTTTGAGTATACCTGTTTGGGATTGTTCTCTGCGCTACTTAGTTGAAAGATTTCTATCCCGCTTCTTGATCTCCAGTTGATATGCAACACCCTAGATTAAAACTGGACAAGAATCATAGAATCTAAGAGTTGGAAGGTACCTCAGAGGTAATCTAGTCCAACCCCCTGCACAATACAGGAAATTCACAAATACCTCCCCCACACACACACACACAGTGACCCCTGCTCCATCCCCAAAACTTGGCAAAGAACCTCCAGGATCCCGGGCCAAACTGGCCTGGAGAAAAAATGCTTCCTGGCTCCAAAGTGGCGATCAGTATTTCCCTGGGCGTGTAAGGAAGGTCCACAAGAACTAACCACTGATGCCTGATGACACCCTTCCTGCCTTTCCTGCCCTCCTTCTCATGATCTGCCTAAATTCACAGAATCAATGTGCTGCCCCTAGCAGAGAGACAGTCAGTAATAAAGATAGATCCAGTTGGTCAGCCGCGTTGGTCTGAAGCAGTACAACACATTTAGAGTCCAACGGCACCTTTAAGACCAACAAAGGTTTATTTAAGGTATGAGCTTTCGTGTGCACGCACACTTTAGCAATAATAAAGAACCGTTAATGGGACGTACTAAAACTAAGGACAGCGATTGCCCATAGGGAATACATGAGTGCCCATAGAGAATAATGGAGAGTAGGCTTGCCCAGAGGGAATAGTGCAGTACATAATTGCCAATAGAGAATCCAAAATTGCCAATAGAGAATCCATGACTGCCCATAGGGAATAATGGAGAGGTCGCTTGCCCATAGCGGATAATGGAGTATATAATTGCCAATAGAGATTCCATAATTGCTCATAGGGACATAATTGCCAACAGAGAATCCATGATCGCCCAAAGGCAATATTGCCCAGAGGTCATTCTGGCTCCTTCAGCTCTCGCCGCGGCAGCCATAACTTTTTAAAGAGCCCCTAACGAGAGCTGGGGGAGCCGGAATGATCTCTCACGTTGCCGCTCGGACATCACACGCGAGAGTTGGAATTTGCCCCTAGGAGTCCAAGGCCGCCATCCCGGGGCTCAGGGAGGCGGGGGAACATTCCCCCCCCCCCCCCGCCTTCTCACTCTCG